GGCAAACTTTTACCAGTGACTGAAGGACAGCCAAGGGCAACTACACAAAAACTAGCTTGGTCAGCACAAGATTTGGTTTGCTTCCTGGACTTCAAGGTGCCATCGGGCCTAACTCTTGGTGGGCGCTGCGTCACACCAAGCATTGAGCACATGCTTGAACTCCTGTTCTCCAGGAAGTCTGGACTCAAGGAAGGGCAAGATCCCCTGCTTTTGCCAATCTGAATAATCCCCACAGCCCCATATAATTATTGCTGTGTTCTTGGGCTCTGGGAATGAAAATGTCTGTTTTGGAGGGAAACAGGTTCAAGGTCCAGACCCATCACTGCAGGTAGGGAGGGACCAGGCTGCTTCTCCTCACCCTGGGAAGTTGATGGCTTCTGATCCAATCTTGTCCAGGAATTACGAACCAGGTGACAGAACAGGGAAGCGGCAGAGAAAGAGAGAGGAACACAGTTGATAAACGGTTCTGGATATGAATAGCCACTGCAAGAATGCCAGGGTGAGAGTAGACCTTTGTTTTCAAATCATTTTCAGATCATCACAATTTCAGAGAACATAGCAAGGACACAATAATATAATAATAACTGAAGGAGGGTAAGATTTGCATACCAAAATGATATAAACTATGCAAATATCAGCAGCAATAAAAAAATTCAGGCAGTGGTGGTGTCACTGGAATTTAATGGGAGGTTGCCTCATTCCAAAATGTTCATAGTTTTTATCTTGTGTTCTATCTTGTTGATTCAAAGCATGTCACTTTCACAGCATATGCAGCTGATTTGGTTTACTTTGGGTATTTCTATAGCATTTCTAACAGTTGCTTTTTCTCTGGAAAGCTGGTGTTCTCTAATGTGCCAGTGATATTCAGAACCACTACTAAGCTCTGTGGCCCACCCGCTCACACAATACATCATGTTGGGCTTTCTGTCCTTTACAGAAAGACATGCACAGGTATAAGGGGCAGAGAGAAGCCTCATAACAGATCAGGTGGCTAGAACAGTTACGAGTTAGGTGTGTGAGTTTGAGGATTGGGCAGATTGGTTGTCTGTTCTCTACCCTGGCTCCCAATTGCATCTTCAGTCTCAGCTCAACTTCATTCAAAATCAGAATGATGGGTGAACTCTGTTGTGGGTGGATCAGCATCTATAAATCATCAAACTTGACAAACAATTCAAAAAACATGTGCCTAACTCTTGATCATTTCCATAAGTAAAGGGTAGGTATCAAAAATATTGTTAAACAAAATGTGCCTGTTGGAATTTATCTCCCAGCTCTGAGTATCTCTCAATTAAAGGACACAAGCCAAACAAGTTATGCATATCACAAAATGTGACCTTTCAGAGCATTTTAGTAGTGACAAGCAAAACAAATGTAAGAAAGGTTGGTATTTCAGAAAAAAAAAGAAGGGAGCTGAGAAACAGTCATAGTTAGGATTATTTTTGTGTGGTTGTTATTTTTTGTTTGTAATTTTCCAAATATTATAGCACTAGTTGTAGAGTTGGAACTCCACATCCAAGCCTCTCTTGTTCTCTTGATATGTTTCCAGAAACTAATGTGCAGCATTTGAGTATATCACAATTAATATTTAGAGCTCATTGTATACAAAGTACAACAGTAAAGAGTCCATACCAAATAGAAGGGTCCTTGTGTTTTTCTACCCTTTCCAAACAGTAAACTATAAACTGTACCTACTCTCATTACTAGAAAAAAAAAATCATTTAAACTTCCTGCTAGATAAAATAATGCCATTTTAGATCTCCCAGAGTTTTTAACAGGGTGTTGCCTATTCTTTCTCCATACCTTCTTTTTCTCTTCAAACCGCCAGTTTTAGAAATAAGATGTTCTGCTTTGATGGTAGGCTAGGATCAAATTAAACTGCTCCTGAATTTCACAAGTCTAATATTTCAAATTAGAGATTTCAGCTCGCTTGACACATTCTAAAACACTTGTGCTCAATGAAGCATTACTTATGTGAATAATTAGTTTAAATAATGTGTGAAAGTAAAAGGACAGTTTGTTTAGGCAGTCACTAATTGTTCTTCCATGGTTGCTCCTGCAAATGAATGTTGAGAGGTATAGAGAAGGGTGTGGCAGCCCATGAGGGCTCTCCTCCGCCAGAAGGGGTTTTTCTTTGACCCAACACAGAGTTTCCACAGCAGTGCATGCAGTGTTGAGAACGGAATGCACAGATTGGTACCCAGCCATCCAGATCAGACCTAGTGCTCAACTGGAAGAAAGATTTTGCAGCCAGATGACCATCACATCATGTCCTGCAAATATTATTTAGTGCTCAGTCTTGAGTCCTAGAATATAAGATAGGGAGAAAAGCCATGGTGTTTGGGTGTGTTTAAACAGCTAGGACTCCACTGGGTTAGCCAACTCCACCACTTAGTTAAGATTTCTATTTTAAAATCTATATCCATACAACTGACCTTTTCTTTCCTTTCTTTTTTTCATTTTCTTTTTTTTTACTATCGTGGTTAATTTTAATGCTATCTTTAAAAGATGATAGCTAATTGAGAGCAAAAGAAAGCAGATACAGATAACATGGGCATCTCTCTGGCTTCAATCACAGCTAAATTCAATATAGTTCCTACTCCCAGCACCGCGTGTTCAGAGTCTCTTATTTTGGAGTTACACCCAGCTGGGACTTAAAACTGACTCCAGACGTTCAGTAGCGTTAGCAGATGGTGGAATCCTCTAGGAAGTAATTCTACTGTGAGTTTTCTATTCCCTAACCAGGTCTTTTGAGCATAATGTGCTTTCTTACCAGCTCACTCAGCCTCCTCATTTCTTAAGTAACCAGTTTCTCCTTATCTTTACTCAAGTAAGAAATTACATGACAGAGATGAGACAGAGACAGACACACACACACACACACACACACACACACACACACACAGAGAGAGAGAGAGAGAGAGAGAGAGAGAGGTCATAGTCTAATAGACCCCATACATACTAGTAGAAGACAGTGTTGTTTCTTCTCAGTCACAAGTGCCGTTTTCCTATTTTTAGTTTTGTTTTGTTTTAAGAAATCTTTCTTCTTATCAGTCTTAACTGGTGATTCCTTTTTTTCTTTTTTCACTTGGGGTCTCACTCTGTCACCCAGGCTAGAACGCAATGGCACAATCACAGCTCACTACAGCCTCAACCCCCTGGGCTCAGGCAATCCTCCCGCCTCAGCCTCTCAAGTAACTGGGACTACAGGTGCACACCACCATGACTGGGTCATTAAAAAAAATTTTTTTTGTATAGATAAGCTCTTGCTATGCTGCCCATGTTGACCTCGGACTCCTAGGCTCAAACCATTATCCCACCTTGGCCTCCCAAAGTGCTGGGATTACAGGTATGAGCCACTGTGCCTGGCGAACTGAAACAACTGAAATCTGTATCAACCATTTTATAGCAGAAGTATGATCTGTGGTAGAAATAGCTTTGTCAGTCTTAAATTTCCAAATATTTTGTAATTAGTGATTGTTAAAAATAAAAATTAAGTACAAATATTTTAAATAAATAAATAAAACCTGCCAGACTTTTCTTTTGTTTCTATAAACTATTTTACATGCTCAGGTTTTTAAAAAATAAATATGACTCATATTTGCAAAAAAAAGAGAAATGTCCCTGCTGAAACCAAAAATAAAAGTTATTTTTAAAGTTGTTTCTCAGCACAATGAGTATTTGGTTTTTGCTTGTTTTATTTTTGTTGATTTTTGTCCACAGCCAACCAATATTTCCTTCCTTCTACTTATTTCCATGCCTAGTCCCCATTGATTCTATGAGTTTCCAGTTAGCCAGCTGTGGTTTGTGTTGTTCGTAAGCAAAAATATTAACCAATACAACTTGACTTCCTCCTACCCCTCACCTCTTCTTCCTGCTCTGAAATTTCTAGCAATTAAGAGTAAATTAGATAACAATAATTGAAATGCTATCTTTCAGATAAACTTCCCAAATTAGTAAACTGGAATTAAGGGAATGAGGAATTGGAGTTGCCACAGGAAGGGACTATTTCAGCAGCACAATAATGTGAGGTGTATTCATAAGCTAAAGATGTGAGATACACTGTGTCCCCAACATTGGGTGTCAGGACTTGGACTATTTACAGTTTTATTCAGAGTTGACTTTAGTGAAGAACACTGATAGGACCCCACCCTTTAGCCTTCTGCACTGATACCCTTCCTACTTGATCAGAACTAAAGTCCACTAACAGATCCTGAGGACTCACGAAGAGGAGTCGAGACAGCACAACTCATCTTTAGGCAAAGACTAATTTGACCTTACAGCTCTCCTTATACACACAAGTACATTCAAATGCTTTTATGAGCATTATTATCTGTGCTGTGCTTCACAGCCATGCTTGGTGAAAGCAGAGCAGATACTGTAGTCTCCATTTTACCGTTGAAAACCCCGAGATTCAGAAGCAAGTTTTCCAAAGTTCCAAGGCTGAAATTCACATCTTCCGCCTTCTCCTACATAGAAACAAGAGAGGCAAGCGAAATAATGTATTTTCCAAAAAAAAAAAAAAAAAAAGTAGTAAATGAGTGAAGAGTTGTAGACCTTTAATTGTTAATAGCTACTATTGAGTTTATACCACCTGTTAGGTCCTGAGAGGAACCCTTCAGGTAGGGATAACATCTGGTTGCTTGAGAGAAGGGACAGTCGGGGGTATCAGGTGCTCAGTGCATATGTAATGAATGGATGAGACAAGGCATGAGATAGAATGGGCAACCTGAGAGAGGGCCTAGAGCCCAGTAAGGTGCTTTGATTCAGCAGAACGGGTAAGCAGAAGCCACTGGAGAGGACTAACATAAGAAGCACAAGACCAAGCTACCTGGCTCGGTCAGCTGCAAAAACTTTTATCCTCAGATTTTGTGTTTGCAGTGATAAGGGCTAAAACAAGGAACAATTTTGCCTTCCAACAGCCTATTGTGGCAAATCCTGACGGAAATCAGCTTTCTTTAGGCTTGGTTTGTGCCTTTTCCTTTTTTGCTTTCACAGCCGAAATGCGTTTGAGGAGTGACCCGAGGCTTCTGAAGAATGGTGGCAGCAGCTTGGCGGCGTTGGGTCCCCGTAAATTCCAGTCGCGACAGAACAGCGAACCCGCCTCAAGCCCCGGGCGATCGCTCGAACGGAGCAGCGTCGCCCAGCGGGCAGAGGCAGCGGGTGCGTTCCGGGGCCGCCCTCCTCCTCCCAGCACTCGGCGCCCGCAAGCGGCCACCTCCCCAGGCGGCCGGGGAACTCAGCCGGGGCTGGGAGGCCGGGCCGCGGCCGGGCGGGAGCCGCGATTGGCTGGCGGGACGGCGGAGGAGGGGCGGGGACGCCGTGATTGGCGGGAGACGGAGCCGAAGGGGGCGGGGCCGCTATATCAGAGGAGTCCCTGTAGCGGCGCAGGCAGTCGGGCTGCTGGAGTGCGGCGCCGCCGCGGAGGGCACGGGCGGCCGG